TTTTTCCTAATTACACTAATCTCTGCAGTTAATAATATGTCAGTGTCTTTGAGTTTGAATTACCTTCTTTCAGCTTTAAAGTTCTGTCAAGATCGACTTATTTTTGAACAGTGTGTTTAGGTAATTGCTCAGTCTCTCAGCTTCTTCTCCCAAGATGGCATCTGGGGATTTGAGGGAGGGATAGAGTCCTAATGGCATTGTTGGGTCCCCAGGCTGTCCTCTGCACGTTCAGGCTTCCTTAGCAACCTCCTTGGTCTTCCCAAGTGTCCCTGACCACTCAGCATTAGAAGTGGAGCTCAGAAGCTGATTCTCTCCCGATTTCTAATTTCACTGCAAGATGGATCTTGGCAGGGTTCCCAGGATTCAGCAGCCTCACCTTGGCTCTCCTTGGCGCTGGAGTCCCTCTGAGCTGCCGCCCCCCCCCCCGGGAACTCCATGTGGCCCCAACCATAGATACCCCCCAAAGGCTCTCCCATCACCTGCCCTTGGAGGATCATAGGAGCTAGGGGCTTCCATTTGTACCATATAGGATGTGAGAGCATTGTAGGAATGTTCAGTCTGACTTTCCATTTACTTTTCATACGACCCCACAGACTTTTCTATGCGGTGCTTGAAGTTGAGGGTAGACATGGACTGCAGAGTCCCAGGTGTAAATAAGATCTTAATCAATTCACGTAACACATTTTCTGGGATCTGCTCATTTGTCACTCTCTGCTCCCCCTGCTCTCATCGCATCTCTTTGGTTTGCCTTTCTCTGGTCTCTAGGACCAGAGGGATGGCTTTTTGCTTTTTCTTCCTCTTGTCATATTCTGCCTATAGCTGGGTCAGCAAGTCCTGCGCCTGGTTGGCATGCGTAGAAAGAGTCTCTTTTTCTGAACTAGTCAGAGAAGCAGGGATGGCATTGCCTTGATGCTGTCACTAACATAGGACTATAATCTGAGACCTCTAGGCTTAGTTCATGATGTGTAAAGAACTTTGAGAAAAAAAAGTCTTTTACCACAAAATCTTGACTTTTAGTGTGTTGATGCAAAATCCTATTTTGAATGTCAGTTTCTTTACATTTATTTTATATCAGTCCTAATCTCCCTTCCAGCTCACCTACCACTGCATACATGTGTAAATGGGAGTGCACATACACACACATGCACACATTTACCAGGTGGAAGAATGAACTAGCGGACACACCAAGAAGTAAATGTGGGGCATGGACAAAGGAAAAGATAAAAGCATGCTGATTTTTTTCACATTATGATAGTTCCTACTTTCACAATTTGCCTTACATGTCTTAACCACTGTAGCAAGGTCTAGTAACCAGCTAGTGCTGTCAGCAGGATCGCTTTCTCCTCCACTGCTATACCTTTCCCCTTTCTTGGCCTGATCTATTGCAATTTACAATTTTTGTTCATATGTACAGTCAACTCGGTGCAACTCCCTTAATCTCTCCACCTTCAACTTCCAAATGTTGGAGCACCTGTCTTCCTATAGTTCTAGGTGCATCTGGTCTCAGCTTCTTAATCCTGTGGAGTCCTTTATGCCCTTTTTCCCTCCCCTTCCAAACTCTCGGTATCTCATTCCATATCGATGGATGGACACAACCAACCTCTCTTACCTCGAGTCGTTTCCTACTGTCAAGAAGTCTTGCAACCCTTGAAGTCAGAGCTCTCACATGATTTCCTTCCTGATGCCTGTCATTAATATGGGGGAAGGTTTTTTAATAACCTCTCCTCCAATAAGTTGGACATAAAGGGAAGAGAAAATGGTGGAAAGTGGATTTTGGAGTATCTTCTAATGATGCAGATCATTCTAGGAAGAGTCCATGACTGCCCCTTTTTTTAACCTTTGACACTATTATTAAATTGTAATGTGGCAAAAACATGTGGGTAGCTTTTGGTAGCTAATGGCCCTGAAACACCATTTCAAATTCAATATCTTGGGGAAAATATGCTTATAAATTGAGACATAAACAAAGCTTTTTGGATATAACCTTTCTGTGGACTAAATTGTATCTCCCCCAAACTAACCTGTTGAAGCTCTATGATTGAATTGGATTGGGCTTTCAGAAGATAATTAAGGTTAAGTAAGGTAATAAGGGTAGAGTCCTTGGCGGCCTAATAAGGAGAAGAGAGACTTTCAAAGAGAAACTGAATGGGCTGGACATCTGACCTTGGACTTCCTAGCCTCCAGAACTGTGAGAAACCCGGTTCTATTGTGTAGCCCCCCCCCATTCTGTGGTATTTGGTAATGGCAACTTGAACTAAGACAAAGCTGTTCATAAATTCATAATTGAATACAATTACCCATTCGTGAATAGATTTCCCTCACAAAACTTGATCATTAACTATCATCTGGTTATTGACTGTGCATAAAACATTGGATGAAATGGTATTTAGATAAATGTCTTTATATTTATATGTATAAATGGATGATAAATGTTATAGATTCCAAAAGAGAAGCCTTTTAGGGGTAAGCCTAAATTTAGGAGGTGGTCAAAATCTCAAGCATCCACTGAGTATCTATGCACCCAATACTTTTTCAGTCAATAACCATATTCTTATTAGAAAAGTAAACCTCATACTCTAACCCAGAGCACCCATTATATAGTAGATACCCAATAAAAGTTAGCAGAATTAAAAAATAACTGTTTCAATTGATAAACATTTATACACCAAAATTGGTGGCATGGAGTATCATCTCTGTAGGAACAGTTTCAGGAAGAAAGAAAGACATGGACAGGAAGGTGGATGGGAGACAGTCACGTGAAGCTCGCTAATGTTCCTTATTATCATGGTCAAACAGGTGTTGTTATCAGCTGTTACAGTATTTTTCTAATCAAGTGGGGTGTTATAACTTTTTGGAAGGAAATTGTCCACTATTAAATAAAAAAAAAACAACTTTCCCTGTATTCCAATATCAAGTAAAAAAGGTTTGGAAATTATATGTGATTTTGAGGCACCCATTAAGTCTTTTGGGACTTATGGGTTTGTTTTATGTTTACTTGCCTTCTGAAGAATTTTAAATCTGATTAACAAGGACTTTTATGACACCTAGAGCTATTATGGTTGAAAAATCTGTTAAAAAGTGGGTAACACAATGTGAATGTTGGTTTTTATTTTCAACTTAAACAACTTTCTTCCTCAAGGATATATTCACATGAAGCTCAAGTAACTGCTTATATTGGTTCAGGAAAATAAATAAATAAATAAATGCATAAAACTTTCAATTGAGAGAGCAACTGATTAGGTTCCAATGTCCATTTCATGATCCCTTCACTTCTTAGTTTATAGTGTTGACCAGGACATGGGCTGAACATGCTTAGAAAGTGAGGGTCATTTCAGGAGTGTGGTAGAATGACAGGGGCGATTGGGGTCAGAGGTCCGTGTGCAAGTCCTCGGGCCAGCTGACTATTCTCTCTAAGCCACAGTGTGTTCATTCAGTGAGTGCTTATTAGGCCTCTGCCCTGTGCTAGGCAGTACCAAATGGGCATCAAAGTAGCCCAAATAGGAGTAGCTAACATCCGCTTATCACTTACTCATTTAATCTTCACCAAAATTATTTGCTGATGGTACTTTCAAAAGTGGCTATTTCACAGGTAAGGGGGCTAAGGCACAGAGACATTCACTGATTGCCCACTGTCCTTCAGGTTTATGTCAGCCATAATATCACCCAGACAGTTTAATTCCAGAAACTTCTGTCTTCACCACATTACTGTTGAGAGGATCTTAATTTTGCATTTATTTGTGTAGTTATTATTCTCATTTATCATTTATTTACTCATTGTTCTTGACAGCAGTTAGGTTGGTAAGTGTCTCCTGAGCAGAGATGCACGAGAATGCATCAGGAACTGCGTCATGAGTTGTGAATAGGTGTTAGTTATTATTTACCGTATTTGTCTATATGTGTTCATTATTATTTACCATATTGTCTATGTCATTAGGCCTCTTTCATTACTTAAAACTACCTTCATTTTGTGTGGAATTTCCCTTCTTTGACACATTTGAGAAATCTTAATATTTGCCCAGTCACAAAAATTGTACTGTATCACATAGTGCAAGTCCTCTGTGTCCTAAAATAGGAGACTTCTACCATTTGATAGTCATTTTTTTATGTTATGAATTTTTTATACATAAAAATACGTAACATACATGATGTTTGCAAACCACAGCTATTGCACTTCTCTTGTCCTTGTTGTGAATATTCTCTCATCGCATAGCATTTTATAAAGCTAAATCCAAAATACGGGTTCCTGCTTTGTTTTGATAGGAATGTTCTCCAGTAGAGAAGCAACCGTGCATTTTAATGGCCTCTCCAATTTTAATAATACCAGTTTGTACTAAGACTAGCTGCCAAACTGTACTAAATGTTAGATATTTTAATCTGACACTTCAAAAATAAAATTGGCTCCTTGCAGTTGAATATTGTGAATGTTTTAAGTGTGAGGACCACACACTCCTTCGGTTCAGTTGGAGAACCTGCAGTGTAGTTGCTACTTCCTGCTCACTGATTGCTGCTGCTACCTGCGTAGTAATTGTCTTTGGCTCTTTGTAAACCTGCAGCCAGAAGGGCATTTGAATTTTCCCCCTGTAGCACTTGCAAATCCAATTTTTATGTATAGCTAAGTGCTCTTAGCTTTCACTCTATCTACTACTGGGGCCTGGTGTCTAGCAGGCCTGTAACTATGCCAGATCTAGCCTATGTAATGCTGTTTGTAATGAGAAATCTAAACAGGGAATGGCAGTGAGGCATGGCAGGAATGTGTTTCCATTGGAGAAGTCAGCGTAGAGAAAAAATATAAGCAAAGCTGTGTCCAGAAGGCCTTTTCAGCTGGCCAAGACGGAAGACTAATGTTATTGTACATAGGCTGTTACTCTGCCAGCCCTTCCTCACAAATTTGCTTTCTCTCTCTTCCCTTCTCCTCAACTCCCCTCCCCCTCCATTCCCCTTTCATCTATCCCTTCTCCTTCTCCCTCTCTTTCTGTGGGCTCCGCGGACTGTTTGCTCAGGTGGACAGTGACACCATTTGGAATGAGCTGCACTCGTCCGGGGCTGCACGCATGGCTGTTGGCTGTGTCATCGAGCTGGCTTCCAAAGTGGCCTCGGGAGAGCTGAAGGTGAGGTCTGGGTTGCATTAAGTGTGGGAAATCCAGAGAAGAAGCTGAAACAGGCGTGTTGTTGTTTGGGAATTGTGGGGAGTGTGGTGTGGTAATAAAAAGAAAGGGGCAGAGGGAAGAGGGCAGGGAGATGGTCACTGAGGTGTGATAATAAGGAGTCTGCAGGTAGGGAGGAGCTGCTCCTGTTCTGAGGGTCTTCCTCCCCTTGGGGGGGGGGGCTCTGCGGTCAAGGCACACTGGTGTGTTTTTAAGAGCATAGAAATGGTGACTAAAGCTAGGGCCCAGGTTTAAAATACCCACTATATACATATCTGTCATGGCCCCCTGGGGTTCTCTTTTGAAGTGATTTAAAAAATATGATTACTGAGTACTGTGTGTAAGCTCAGAATACCACCCAGAGTGAAAGAGGTGGGGGGTGGGGGGAGAAAGGTAAATACCAGACGGGAAGGATTGGGAGGAAGAAGGAAATTGTTGATTAGAAGGGTAATGATCCAAAGTATGTTTTTCCACGAAAGAACTTCAAAAATGAGCTACGCTTTATTGTTCTTTTCTTTTTATGGTCTCTTCTTTTCTACATCATATGAAAAGAACAATGTCCAAACCCAACGTTTCCCAGTCTAAACAATTTATAAAAGCCAGAGACCTGACAGATGCTGACGTTTTATTTGGTATTTTAACAGTGCTATTTAAAGGTACCCTGTGCATCTTGCGTGCACTTGCCTAGTAAACTTTGTTGGTGCTAACACGGCTTTTTAGTGCACCGCTTTACCCACTTTATGATGAAATCTGGGCTTGATTGATTTGATATTTTTAGCAACTGGGAGGCTTCATGGAAATACATTGTGATCAACAACATAGGCACTGTGAATTTTGTTAATTTAAAATAAAGTCTAATTGGATTATTTTTCTTTTCTTTTTTATTGAATTTAATGGGGTGACATTGGTCAATAAAATTATATAGGTTTCAGGTGTACAGGTCTATAATACATCATCTGTATATTGTATTGTGTGTTCACTACAGATTATTTTTCTTTATGTCTAATGAATTATTATTCTGTGTCACCTGACTGTTTCACTTGTGATTAAAAATTCAGGTTAGGAATGTATACTTTATAATGAATTATATCTCACAGAAGTCTTTGCTCCAACTCTTTAAGAAGCCAGAATGTATAGAAATATAATTTTAATAAGGAAGATATCTATATGTATCTATACTTATCTATATCTATCTATATATCTGTATAGTTATATATCTATATATGTCTCTATATATTCATATGTATATAGCTATACTTCTGTACGGTTGATATGATCAGCATCAGGACATTAATTGCTCATCACAGGGTATTTCTGGGGCCATTAGTAAGTTGCTTACTCCTGAGTCATTATCTTTGGTAATGAGCTATTGGAAAGAGAAGAGGACTCAGCCTTCTGGAGACTTTTCAGCTGTCACCCAGTCACACTTTAGCAATAATCCTTTCCGTTGGAGTAGGTGCCTTGTAACACTGGAATAAATTCACTTTTGAAAAGAACGATATGTGAGTATCGGGTCTTAGTTCCAAAAGAAGTCAAATGACAAGCAATAGCCAGGCCACAGTGTGAGTTTTTAAATGATTCTCCTGGCATCGGCCCACTTCATAACAAAGATACAGGATTGTGTTAACATCCACAAGTTCTAATTGTTTTGATTTTGTGGAAGTTTAATCAGGGATTCAGAAACCCACAAGTAGAATGCCCATATATTACACTGAAAATCATCATCACTGTTAGCCTCACAGAATGCAGAATTGCCAAATGTCTGTCTGAAGACTGTTGAACAAAAACCTGATTCTACTTTTGGAGGTAGCCATTTAAAATAGCCAATTACAAACAAAGTGTCAGCAACATAGTATGGACATGCTGACCACCAGCTGTACTAACATGGACTATTTATGTTAAGAACAAAGATTCATACAAATGCTTTTTCCCCCCACGGCTGAGAAATTAGTAAGTATGGTTTAAAAAGAAAAGAGAGGAATAGGAAAAAGGAGCCAGCCTCAGAATCAAGAAATTTAGTCCAGGCTTGGCCACTTAAATGCTGTGTCACTTGGGACAAAGCACTTAACTTCTCTGGGCCCTCAGTTCTTGTGCAGGATCAGCAGGGCAGACTTGGTAATGATGAAGGTAGTGCGTGGTGCTGACATTCTGAGCTACTTGCAAATGACAAGTGGATCTGATTCTCAGTGATACTATCTATGGCACACCAAAGAGTAGGTATTCCAGAGCTAAATTCAGCTTAGTTTGGTGAGTGTTCCAGATTTTGCAGCTGGTTTTTCTTTAGTCCAAGACATGCAGGATCATAACAAAGGCACCAGCGCTGACAGGCCAAGAGCCCCGTGGGAACGCCATTTGGGAAAGGTAGCAGTTACAGATGATTTGCGGCCAGAGTGGAGAACTGAGGTGTGGAGCTAACCAAGATGTTACTCAGCGTCTACCTGCCCCAGACTCCAGTGTGACCCGTTGGCAGGAGCAGTAACACTTAGCTGTGTAGTCACTTTATTCAGATGTAGGAAGAAGGTAAGGGGGCTTCTTTGAGGACATTGGTAAGTTATCTGCAGATCAGAGATGTAAAAAGAGAGAACTTTAGGTTTTATTTTTCATATTCTGCATCTGCATTCAGTTTTCACATGCCCTATTCACATTCTCCCAGAAAAATCGGTAACTGAATGAAACACCATTGGCATATTTTGACACTGCATTTTGCGAGACTGCACTAATTTTGCTTAGAAAATATAGAATTAAGAGCCTTATTTCCAATAGGGCGGGCCTGGATAGAGTGCTGAACCGAGGGGTTAGAGACCGCTGGAAAAAGGTCACCGAGCTCGTAGAGGTGCGGATCCAGGAGATGACATGTACAAAAAAGGAACATGCCAAATGCACATTTTGCTTGTAGCTGCAATTTTTGCTTGTAGCTGAACTTACCATGACCACTAGCCTAAGTTTGACCTATCTTCATCTGAGGGTACTGATAGACTGAAAGAATTAGAATGTACCAGGCACAGGGAGAGGGTCTAGTGCTGATCCTTAACTAGACCATGTGCAGCAAACTGTGGCTGTAAATTGGTGTCCTTTAGTACACAGTGGACACGCTCAGTGGACTTCAGTAAAAATTATGGAGGCTTTCATTTTCTAGGTTTTAACAAGATATTTAAACACACACACACAGAAAAATTTCTCTAATCTATGGATGCCAAAATTGGCTATCTTTCAGACTCTTATACCAAGGAACACAAATATTCAGAAAATGCTGAAATGTTTGGTGTACTGGAAACTATAATTGGAAGAAGAGTTATATCAAAATGATTTTACTGTTCTATAGGACATTTTCTAATCCTTACCTGAAGATATATATATACATATATATTTAAAGATTTTATTTATTTTTTTTAGAGAGGAGAAGGAAGGGAAAAAAAGAGGGAAAGAAAGATTCACATGAGAAGTATCAATCAGTTGCTTCTCCTACCTGCCCCAACCAGGGGCTGAACCTACAACCCAGGCATGTGCTCTGACTGGTAATCAAACAGGTGACCTTTCAGTCTGTGGGATGATGCCCAAAAAACTGAGCCATACCAGTTGGGGAAGGATTTTTTTTAATGATTTGAGAGAGAGAAAGAGATTCAGAGAGCAAAAGAGACAAACATAACACCAATCCTTTGCTTTTCGTAGGTGCCCAGACCCAGTATCAAACCCAACACCTAAGTACGTGCCCTGACCAGGAATTGAACTTATAACCTTTTGATGTACAGGACAATGGTCCAACCACCTGAGCCATCTGACCAGGGCTCGATAGGACATTTTTTAAAGTATGTCTAGAAATAGAAATATCTCTAAAGTCTCAACATTTTTAAAGTTATAAATGACTCAGTATTTGGTTCAAAAGATGTTACAAAACATCAAGTAACCTTAAACACATACAATTTTTGCTGGTCATTATACCTCAATAAAACTAGAAACAATGGCTCCACACTAATCCAGATTTACTCTAAGGATTTATTTGTAAAAAGTTTTCAATTACAGTTGGCTTTTAATACTATTTTGTCTTAGTTTCAGTTGTACAGCATAGTCCTTAGACAGTCCCATACTTCACACAGTGTGCTCCCCACAGTGTGTTCCAGCACCTATCTGGCCCCGTACACACTTATCGAAATATTATTGACTACATTTCCTGTGCTATGCTTTACATCTCCATGACTGCTTTGTAACCTCCAATTTGTACTTAATCTCTTTGCTTTTTTCACCGAGTCCCCCAGTGCCCCTCTGCTCAGGCAACCACCAGTTAGTTTCTTGTCTGTGACTACAAGTCTGTTTGAATTTTGTGTGTGTGTGTATTTTGTTCTTTAGATTCCACATATAAGTGAAACCATGTGGTATTTGTCTTTCTCTGACTCATTTCACTGAGCAGAATACCCTCTAGGTCCATCCATGCTGTCACAAATGGTAAGACTTCACTCTTTTTTATGGCTGAGTAATAGTCCATTGTATATATGTACCATAACTTTTTATCCACTTGTCCACTGATGCACACTTGTGCCACTTCTGTATCTTGGATATTGTAAATAACACTGCAGTGAACAAAGAGGAGTATATGGTTTTTTGAATTTAGTGTTTTGGGTTTCTTCAGATGGATAACCAGAAGTGGAACCACTGGGTCATGAAGCAGATCCATTTTTAATTTTTTGAGGAGTCTTCATACTGTTTTTTATAGTGGCTGCACTAATTTGCCATCCCACCAACAGTGCGCTAGGGTCCCCCTTTCTCCACATCCTTGCCAACACTTGTTGTTTGTTGACTTATTGATGATGGCCATTCTGACAGGTGTGAGGTGGTATCTCATTATGGTTTTAATTTGCATTCCTCTGATGGTTAGTAACATTGATCTTCATGTCCTCTTTGGAGTAGTGTCTCTATTCAGATCTTCTGCCAATTTCTATTTGGATTATTCTGTTTTGTTTCTTGGTGTT